AAAAACGTACAGAAAAGTTATAAAATCTTCAAACCTAGGCTGCACAATGTCCTTAGTATAGGAACAAATATTGTAAACATTTGGCTTTGTTTGGGCCATATAGGCTGTGTTAGGTTTGCAAAGTATTGTGGTAAAATGTACAGCCACCATCTTTTTTCCTACGGTGGATTGTAACACTCGACATGCAGGTTGAAAAGCAACCCTAAGCAACTGTATTTTCCACTCGGTCGAGCATGTGTCAAAATCGGCGGAGCATTGATAGAAAGACAATACCACAGAAAAAAAAAGGACTCGAGCAAGCAAGAAACGAATTGTCCGCATGCTGGCAATCATCCATTTAACGAGGTGTATCGATCATGATAGTGGAGAATACAGAATCATCCGTCAATTTCTCCAACGAAACCAGGTCGGTGTTTTGATGACCCACAGTCACCACAAATCGTCTGGCACTTAAATCACACAACTTCTCTATTGTTTCCATCGCGACCATTGCTTGTCCCGTTACCATTCTATTAAACCTGCTGGTGATAATAGCAGACGAGAAGAGAATTGAAAAAGAATTCGAACATCCTGCTGTCTAGTGTGGCCTTGGCTGACTTTTTGGTGGGCGCTGTATCTATGCCACTGACCATTACGTTAGACTCGTTAGCTGTTCAGAGAGTTTTATCTGAGGATATCATTATCTATCCGATATTTTTCATAAGTGTCTTTGTACTGCTTACTGTTTGCGGTGCGTCGTTTCTTAATTTGCTCCTGCTTGCTTGGGAGAGGTATTTGGCGATAGCAAAATGGATGGAGTACAAGGTTCTTGTTACCAGGGACCGTGTAAACAAGCACACGTGAGCTGTATGGCTGTCGGTATTACTAATAGTTGTTGCATCAGTTATAATGGAGGCGGTTGGCGTTCGTTATGAACTTTTATTTGTCGCAGATGTAATTGGAAGCATTTTCTGGGCCCTCTGCTTTTCAGTTATAGCATATCAGTTATGTCAAGACTTACCTCGCAGTGCAATAATGGAACCGAGCTCGAGTTTGCCCGGTAAATGTTCTGATCAAAAAAAAAAACTCGAAAAAGAAGTTGCTTACCAGACTTTCTTGCGGTTTTCGTTGGCGTCTCGTCATCGTCGTTTATATCTCTCGGAGAAGTTTGCCTTTTTCGGCCAGGTTTTCACTTAACGATGGGCAGAAACATGCAATACTTCAGTAAAACTCTCTTGTCAATCCACTATTGTACTGGTATAGAAACCGCCAGTGAAGGAAAGCTGCCCTGGAACTGTTAAGGTGCAGAAAACCTCCGAGAATCGGGCCAGCAGTTCTCACTGTACGTGTTAGACAACGTCGTTACTCTGCGGCATTGCTAGATTTTGAAAAGTTCAGTCAAAGCGGGAACAAATGTCCCCGTTTTATAAGATCACAATCTTGTGATGCTGTGATTTGTTCTGCCTCGGCTCGGTGGAGATCGAACAAGGCACTGAAGGGAAGAACCATGTCAGCTCCATCAAGGGGATCAAGTGAAGAAACATTCAAATAGCAGCCAATTCAGATTGAAAGTACCCTAAAAACTCGGAAACGCATTCTGTGCCATGCTAATTCAACTTAAGATACCACAGAACTTGGAAGATCTCGGCATCATATCAGTGGTGGAATTGTGCGGTCAACTTCACTGGATGAAAACTCCTTTGTCACACTAACAAACTCTCATCAAAATGCGACAGCGAAGTATAATTTATCCGGAATACTGGATCTGTGCCACTGTTAACAACCGATACTGAACAGCAACAAAAAAACGGTTGAGACCGGTTGACCCGTCCGAAGGAATTTGCTAGGAATCGTAATGAAGACACCAAAATTAGTTCACTTATTTCCATGAATAATTACACTTCTAATATCGTATAAATTATATTTATTAATCGTTGTCGACGTCTACGTTCTAATGAATGCAGTTTAACGTTTTGGTTGCTGCGAACGAAGTAGACATATAGCTGCAGTTTTGAGTCCTTAGACAACATCAGAACAAATTTGTAAAACTGAGTTTGGAAAGCAATATTATATTTTATATCCACTTTTATTATATGGCTGTGTCTCACACGGACTGGGAACTGCCGAATTCACGAATTTGATTGGCTGAAATCGATATTGACCGCGGTCTAGATTTTCCCTACAAGTTTAACGGATGCGGAAATCAGACTGTTCCTTTTAGAAGGCGTTTCTGTCGTCCGATGACTTTTACAGTCTTGCTAACAACATACTACGAGCACGACCTAGTTAGAAAAGTTCTTGGTTTCACGGGCAGTCCCCTTCCAGTGCCCTGGCCTGCCTGATTATGGCAGGAAATAATCCCACTTAAGGTCTTTCACTAGTCCATCTCATCTCATTCCTCATCGTGCCCCGCAGGACACCTAAGGCCATAGGAATGTTTACTTATCACTAATGTTTCCTTTTTCAAATGCGCGACAGTACAAAACATCTGTCTCCATTTTGGATTGTTCTGTTACTTTGTCCTCCATCCAAATCTCCCAGCTCGGGAACTTTAACAGGAGTTAAAGCAGAGTAAGTATATCGCTCGGTTGACATCTCACGCGTTAGGAATCTTCGTCTATTCAATCAGTCCAGAGATATTTGTTCTTAAGGATGTTTATAACGTAGACGAAGGTTAACAGCTGTAAAGCTATACGGTAAGCGGTGTGACTTCACATATTTCAGTTTTTTTTTTTATTTTTCTCTTCCGCTACGCAGATAAAATCGCGCAATCTGGTTAGTTCAAGGGGCGGTTCGAATCATACATCTGGAACCAGTCGCGCTCTGAGCGCGATTGGTTGTTTGTCCTTCTTAAGAACCTCGACTTTGTCCTACTACTAGCTCACCACTAGTTCAGATCTGACTGACAACTAGAAAAATTTGAGGTTAGACCCAAAATATTTTGTGCTGATAACGTAGCACTTAAAAGATCCGTGTATTATCTGATTGGTTGTTGCTCTGTGTTGAAGTGGTTTTCGCGCGCAAATAACCAACCAATCAAAGACGCTGAATCCATATCGCACGAAAAATTTTCACCCAAGACTCTCTCCAACACCAACGAAAAAAGAATTGAGCTCTGAGAACTCTGTTTTGGCCAGCAACTTAAGCCCGCCAAGTTTTTCCAACGTACTGGCGTAAGATTTTTATCTTCGGAGTGCAAAGATTTTCGAAGATGACCCGACCATACCCGAATGAATGAATTAATGAATGAAGATGAATGAATGAGGATGACCCGACCATACCCGAATTCTTCCGAAAATTTTCGGAAAGGTTCACAAGATCTCTAAAGAGTTTCCAAACATTTCCTCCTCCCAGTCCCGGGATGTGTTTCGCCAAACGTAGTACTGTTACCAGTATTTTCTCTCAAAAATCGGACAATTTGGATGTGTTCGTCATTTACACGGACTTAGCTTTTCTTGCAGTACTCCACGTTTTTTCCAAGGTGCATCAGTCAGTATATTGATAGGTATGAATCCAAGTGCAATTGCGAATTTACACTTCAAGTGCTATTTGAAAATTCTTTCAAAATTGCACGAGCCTTTAGGCCAGGGCAATTTTCAAGAAGTTTCAAGCGAATAGTGTAAGTACTTCATTGCTCGAGAACTTTCATACGGTCAGTCAGTAATTGTATGAATGAGAAAATTACGAACGTGCCTTATCAATTTGCACTGCAGTTCAAATTAAAAATCAGTGATATTAAAATTGGCTCGCTCTCAGTCAATTACATTGACGTAATTTTCTCACTCACATAATTACGGCTATAATAGCTTAAATAGCTTAAATAGCTTAAAAGATTTTCAGCTACAGGTGAGAAATTGGACCGTAGGCGCGAGTAAGGCGTGGGTTCAGACTCGTACCCAGTCGTTATTTACGGGTCAGATTGGATTGTTTCAAAGAGAAAGCGGTCTGGATCGAGTACCCAATCTTCTCTCCCAAAACACGTAAATAGCGACTGGGTACGAGTCTGGCGTGAGATTGAAGTTTTCGACCCTTAATACAGA